CTGCCGGCCCCCGCCGGGACAACCGGCGCCTTGCCGGGCAGCCATACCGCCCTGCGCTGCGCCGCGCCGCCAGGCTAAACCTCTTCCGGTACCCGGGCAGGGGCCCTGCGGTGAAGAGCCGGTCGCTCTGCGAACCTCCTGGGAGGCAAACACCTACAGCCGAGACATGTCATGCAGGAGAGAAATACACTCGGCCCAACCTCTTACAGTGCTTTCTAAAAAAACCCACCAAAACCAATGGAGCAAAAACTCATAAACAACCCACAAACCTTTTTTTTTCTGGGTGGGTGGAAAGGAAGGAACCAGGTGCTTCACAGCTGTGCCTTAATTTGTCTGCACTTCACTGAATCATGACTGAACGCGTGTCACACGATGCTGCTTTGTGCATGAAACTGCTTTTCAGTAGCAAGTTATAAAATAGATCAAAAAGGGGAAATTAAACTTATACTCTGAAAACGGACCTTATTTCAGGAACAATCTCAGTAAAGAACTATTGAAGGCTGGGTTGCTTCTCAGCATTTATGCTTTTTATTTTGTATTTTAGTTCAGACAATGAACTAGCAAAGTTGGGGGTTTCTTTTGGTTGATGCACTGGCTGCCTTAGTTCACTAGTTGCAAAACCTACAGTGTAATTTGGAAATTGTGTGAGAATGCCATCAGTTACATATTTGCTTATTGACCATCAAGTTCAGAAAGGGAAATAAAGGAAATTTAGAAAAAAGGGGGGGAGGGCAAGGAAGACATGATACCAAATTAAAAATTTTCAGATTAGACCAAAGTGGCACAACTTAGTACAGGAGAAATACAAATTTAATTACCTAACACAGTATCACAGAAACAACTGGTTGCTGACCTGCAACTCAGTCCAACTGCAGTAATTTCACATTGGACTAGAGAAACTGAAGTCACAGGTAGGAATTACAAGCAGCTCTGTTCTGCAGAACCCTCCTGCGTGATCAAACAATTCTATGTTAGCTAGAGAGGACAAGTATTTCCAGAGTATCTTAAAGTTTAGAATTTTTGACAAAATAAAAACTTAATTGCATATAAGCCAGAAGTTTAATGAATCCAAGGTCAAAGTTGAAGAAATTCTACTGATGTTTAATCTTCTGTGTCTTCCTGTCCTGGTTTCAGGCAGGGAGAGTTAATTTTCTTCATAGAAGCTAGCATGAGGCTATATTTTGGATTTGGGATGAGAAAAAGTTGATAAAGTGCTGATGTTTTGAGTTGTTGCTAAGTAGTCAAGGACAGTCCAGCTTCTCATGCTGGCCTGCAGCGAGCAGGCTGGGGGTGCACGGGAAGCTGGGAGGAGACACAGCTAGGACAGCTGACCCAGGCTGGCCAAAGAGATATTCCCTACCATGTAACGTCATGCTCAGTATATAAAGCTGGGACGAAGAAGAAGGAAGGGGTGGACGGACATTCGGAGTTATGGCATCTGTCTTCCCAAGAAACCATTACGAGTGACAGAGCCCTGCTTCCCTGGAGATGGCTGAACACCTGCCTGCCCATGGGGAGTGGTGAATGAATTCTTTGTCTTGCTTTGCTTGCGTGCGCAGCTTTTGCTTTACTTATTAAACTGTCTTTACCTCAAACCATGAATTTCCTCACTTTTATTCTTCCGATTCTCTTCCCCCGTCCCACCGTGGGGGAGTGAGTGAGCGGCTGCGTGGGGCTTAGCTGCCAGCTGAGACTAAACCACGACACTTCCCTACAGGACAGCAAGTACTTTCTGTAATTGCAATAAAAACACTGAGATAGTAGAAAACTGAGGTGTGTGGCAGGGTTGGGGGATCAGCAGACAAGTATATAAACATGCAACTTGAAACTAATTGTGATAGTTGTAGAATTGGCCATTAGAATAGTCATGTCATAAAAGTTAATGGCTTGCTTAACAATGAAAAATCTAGATTTACTTCCAAGAGATTCTATTTGCTTCATAATAATCCTAGAACCTTTTATTTCAATAAGTCCAAGAAAATGCTCACTTTAGCAACTTCTTCCTTGTTTTCAACTACTTGACGAAGGGCCTAGATGTCTTAAAATCTCAAAGCAGATTCCTGAGCCAACTTTATGGCTGGAAGTGAAAAGATGTTTAGGCAATATAATCAGGCTCAGTAGCTTTAAATCACAGACCTGAGGACTACTGTTTCACCTATTTGTTTTTTGTGCGTTGTGTTGGGTTTTTTTTTAATCTGTGCTAGATGTATTTTATAAATTAAAAATGACAGTAACAACCAAGGCTTCCCTTCAAGCACAATACAGGCAAGCTCCTCTGTAAAATCAAAAACACCCTCCCCTAACTTCCCCTTATTCCTGTTCTTTCTCTTCCCCTCTCTCGATGCAGATATCGTTCGCAATCAGCACTTTTCCTAGACAAGCACGTTATAAGGCATAAGCAACTGCTTTGAGACAATTTTTTTCCTAAAGAAACATTACAAGTATTGAAACCTGTAATAAGCCTAGCATAGGACTATGCTTTTCTTTTTAAAAGCCTTCTCCTCTGAATGCTTTGAGGAAACTTTGGTTAGATTTGGCAACAGAAGAGAAGCTTTCAGTCTTCCTGAAGGGGTGATAACTGCAGCACTTCCCTCCCAGTACCTAGTCTGTTCTTTCCCCGATAGCATTATTTTGGGCAACTGTTTTCACTGAAGTATTTTCCTAATTGCTAAGTCTGCAATAGAGGTAAGTTCCTTTATTTCAAAAGTAAGGGGTAAATGCATAACAATTGTCCAATTTAGAAAAGAGAAGAAGATCCAAGTACTGGGATGAAACTGGCAAAAACATCGAGATTGTTTACCGTTCATGTAATTTTTTTTCTATTGTTATAATGAATTAGCATAGTCCTACCCCAACACTGCTTTAATGCAGCACTGAGTATCAATGAAGGCCTGTGCAATGCAAAGAACCACGCAAGAATACCACCACAAGATCTCAAGTCTTTACTTCAGCACCAGTTTTCCAACCACAAAAATTAAAAAAAAAAAAACCCCAAACACTTTCACAGCACACTGTAAGAAAGTCACATGTATCAACACTATATTCTGCTTGATAAAGAGCAGCATCAGAAACAGCAATCTGTTAAAAAGAAGTTGATCAGAATTTATTAATTCCAAACCATCCCACTACATCAGTTCATCTTAAATGTGTCATTTTGGAAAGGAACATTGCTAGATTTTTAGAACTTGCTAGAATAAAAAGACTGACATAAAGAATAAAAACATGAAAGACAAATTTGAGTATTTTTGCACATATAAGCAAAAAGCTGTTTAACAATAATGATGATCAATATTTGGTTTTCATAGTCTATGATTATCTTCAGGGTGAGTAAGAATGGTTGATGCTCCACCTAGAATTTCAGGGATTACTATAGAGGGTTTTTTTGGTGTGGGTGTTTTGTTTTTTTTTTTTTTTTTTTACTTACACCAAGTTCTTGGAAACGTTTGTATATTACAAGTGAACTTAACTGAACTTACTTTGTTATGCAACTTGGATGCAGCCCTCAGGATTTCCTTGCATGTCACCAAAGAAGTCCTGGGCTGGCTGAATTCAAATCTGTTTCTCATGTGATACCCAACTCTATTTACAGAGTGGGAGAGAGATGCATTCCATGTACTTCAAATGGAAAGGTCCAGACTTTTGCATATATAAAGACTTTGGCTTGTTAAATTAACATTTTCATATGATTGCAGAGCATAGTTTGACTTTTCATTGTGCCCTGCTGGAGAAAGATGAAAGGTTTGCTGACATTGTGTCCATACATAATTTTTAACTTGTTTTTCAAGTAGCAATAGGGAAAAAAGAGGGACTCTCCTAGTGTGCTTTCCCACTAAATACTTCAGATTATTTTTTAATTTTTTTTTTTTTTTAAAAACTAAAACACATAAGCTCCGAATCATGCAAAATATGACCACCTCAGCTACATTAGTCTAATGTAACTGGGCAACTGGTGAAGTTGTCAGACCATCCGAAGAGGTCGTGACAGTCCATTCTCACACTGCCAGCCTGATGGGTGGGCTAAGTTAAAAAAAAAAAAAAAGACAGAGGCATCACCGTGTGCTCACTGTGTTTTCCATTTTGGTATTCCCAGTCAACCACTCTCTCTTGACATTGGTAGTTGACATTTACCACTGCACCAACGTAGTTAGAAGCAGTAAATTTGTGTTTCGTTTCATTAGCAGCTATACACTCAGTGCTATTCATCATATATAGGTGGGTCTCCATCGCTTGAAAACATTGACAGTTTCTTTCCATGATTCTGCACATGATCTTCATTCATCTTCTCCAAAGCTTCAATCTAGAGAGCCAAAAATAAATCCACGCTGAAATTATAAAACCACACCAGAATGTTTCTCAAAAGTGTTAAAAGGCAGCTTTAGATGACTGATCACGTTTATACAATATTGCTGTTTCAATGATTCTGACTGAATCATTGTATGGAGTCTATGGAGTGACTCCTGTACGGAGTGACACGCTTTGAAAGTAAAGCTTGAATCATCTGTTCTCAACAAGTTAATAAAATGAGTAGCACTCCTTTACAGTTTCATGCTATGTAACTGAAATGCACAAGTTGCAGGAAGGACTGGAGGATTCTTAAGACTTCAGCCGTATTCCCTGAAGTACAGAAGTGTTCCTTTCTCCAACTCTGAACACCTCCACTGTAACTCACCCAATGCACCAGCACTGGAAAACTTCCAAGTAATACTGAGATTACAAATCCACTGCAACCATTTTTAATGGTGAAAACTGAAAACTGTTACACTTCAATGTTTTGTGCAAGCAAAGAAACACAGCACAGTAGCCTATTTTGATCTTCACATTATTATGCTTGGCTTACTTCCTTTTGTACTCCAGGGGAGATAATTTGACTGAAGTTGCTAGTAACTAAAAGTCTGAAGTTTAAGGATGGGCTGCTCAAATTCACTTCTGTGTAAACAGCAATGTCTTTTCCATAAAACTTAGAAGCACAAAAGATGATGTAAAACAACAGCAACAAAAAAACCCACCTCACACCCCAGTGCTCCTGACAAAGTCAGTGAGAGAACTAGTTTTTGCTCAATTAACTGATACATAAGGATCGTGGAACAGTGACATTGTGTTCACTTTCTCTCTTCCTCACTTTGATGGCCTACCCCAGGAGTTAACTGGATTCAAGCTCCCACCTACTTCACGCTGGACTAGCATAAACCTACACTGTCATTAGGAATCAAGTAGAATAGAATTGCTATGTTACCTTTACTTTAATTAGCAAATATATAATGTTTGACAACTTATTTTAATAAATGTCTGATATCAGGATGCACACCTTGAGGAGTTTACAGCCAGAATTTGAAAATTAAAAGCCAAAGGTGACCAAAGATTCCTAGTCCACACTTACATTAGCTTGATTTTAGGCTTGAAAAAGGAAAACGGTAGCCTAAACTTTAAACTCACGTAACTTAAATCTAAAACATGAAAAATAAGTAGTAGAAAAATTATTATTTTTAGCCCAGCCTTCCTTACTCTGCACAACCTTTAACATATGTAAGGAAAAGACAACAAAGCTTGCTTTTAAAACTAAAACAGATCACTAAATTTTCCTTAACACTGACAGAAGAAATTATATACAACATGAAGCCTTTTACACTTGGGAGCAGGAGGACTAGGAAAGGGGGTGGAGAGGTCTATCAATCTGAAAACACACAATCACACAGAATCATTAAGGTTGCAAAAGACCTTCAAGATCATGAAGTCCAACCGTTAACCCAACACCACCATGCCCACTAACCCATGTCCCAAAGGGCCACATCTATAGGTTTTTCAAACACTTCCAGTGATGGTGACTCCACCATTTACCTGGGCAGCCTGTTCCAATGTTTGGCCACCCTCTCAGTACAGAAATTTTTCCTAATATCCAGTCTAAACCTATGCTGGTGCAACTTGAGGCCATTTCCTCTTGTCCTATCACTAGTTACTTGGGAGAAGAGACCAACCACCCACCTCACCACAACCCTCCTTTCAGGTAACTGTAGAGAGCAAAAAAGTTTATACTAGGTTGAAATAATAAAGTTTTGGAAAAAAAAAAAAAAGATGCAGAATGATTGCTGAAATTATACTCACACACACTAATCCTACAAACTAAACATAGAAAGTTAAGGTATTATAACAGCTACTACAGCTAACCAAATTAAAGTGTTAGGCACAGAGAAAGCAGTACCTCTGCTTGGAAGTCTACTTCATTGTCAGCTGTAATATTTAAACCTGAGACAGCATTGAAGAGTTCACGCTCATTAAGTGCTTCTGCCACACCTCCCTTCTGGAAGAACTAGTCAAGTATAAAAAGCACACATTAACCACTTTACTACACAAAACAAAATATTCCTTTTCCTTCCCCAAGTTACAATTACAATATTTAGTCAAAATGATATTATTTGTTTTGTTGACCTACTGATAAAAATAGTTGAAAGAACTTTTAAGTTTCAGTGGTGCCATTTTATTCTTCCACACTTTTTTCCCCTTTTGGAGGACACCATCAGTATGGACAATATGCAAGAGTAATCTTATACATGTGTGGTGGTGATCATTTTTTACAGAGTTGTATTGGTTGATTTTTAGTTAGGTCTGCATTGACTTTATCTTGGAAAACATTCAGCATTCAGAAGATTGTCAGATGAAGAGGTCCTACCTGTGCAACATTCCTACAGTCTCTGAACAAAAACTCAAGTCCGTGAGGATGGGTTGGCTCCACAGACTGACTGACATCAATAAGCCAGACCTGTAGTCACAGTGAGACAGCAAGTCACTTTGCACTGACATTTCTCATTAGATGAAACCTTTCCTTCCCATGTTAAGAATAAGCTCACCTTCCCATCATGCCAAAGCATGTTGTATTCACTCAGATCCGCATGGACCAGGTTGCATTCCTTATACAACTGTTGCATCATCTGCAAGGAACCAAATTAATGAATGAAAGAAGTGTGCTATACTCCAGATAAATATTGTTTGCTTGACTCTAACAAAAAAAAAAAAAGCACCTTTCCCCAGTTGCCTACCTAATTTACATAATTTTTTCCAAGTCTTCAATAAAGTTGCATACAGGGAATTGCAGTTTCGGTAAATTGCCAGCAAACTAAGCTTTTATCACTGAGCCTAGCTTTAGCAAGTCAGAAGAATCAGTCTGGTAAACTCATGTCAGCTCTGCCAAGCAGTCCAAGTGCATGAGACAGATAAACGTGTTCTCTAAATATACCTGTCATTCTCAGCCCAGTCACAGGAAAGAAGTCTCACAGTTTTAGATATTGAATCCTAATTAGTATGCATATGCACTTAAAACATGGTTGCGTTGCTCTACTAGTCTCAAGATCTGAGGCACAGACCACTCATTATCAAGCTGCTGGGTTAGCTGTTCTGCTTTTTGGGGTTTTCTTTAACGTCTGTAATGTAATAGTGAGTGGACAGTTAGCAGCTACATGTTTGAATCAATTGCAGCAGATAAGAGGAAAGTAAAGTATCCACCATGCAATATTCTAATTCATTCTCTGATTTCTAGATTTTCTAAAAAGGGGGGTTGGGGAAAGGCCTATCCACTGGAGAGTGCTTCAGCATTGTAAATTAAGTATTCTGTTACGCCCAGAAAGACTTCAGCAAACTTTCTAAACCACATACTGCTTCTATAAAAGGAAGACTACTTGCTCATAAATCCTCTGCTGCTAAGTATCTGTTTGTCATCAAGTTCCAGCATGTTTTCCATTCAGATTAAGATTCAATTTATTTTTTTAGCACATAATTGTTTGTTTATTCTAAGTCACACATTAAACAGCAGCAAAGTAAGCCTTTGGACTTCATATCTTGAAAGTGATGCAAGCATCCTGAAAAGTAAATAAATGCTGATTTGTCCTTTAAGTTATTCCCCTTAAAGAAAAGGCAACCCAGAATTGGAGGAGAAATCAGCATTGTCTTACATTAAGAATCTGATAGTAGGCCTTTTTCATATCTTCACTACTAAGTGTTACATCCTTTAGTTTAGGAGCTGGGACTTGATCCTGGCCAATGAAAGACATAACCAAGACGTGTTTCTTAAGGATAACCACTTGAGGACAAGGAATTCCTGCATTTTGCATTCTGTGGATCAGAAAATAGATACTGATTAAGAAAAACAAAATAAAACCCCCAAACCCTACAGTTCTAGTTCCTGCTTGCTCATTTCCAATCTGAGAACATTGTAAGAAACTTGATCCAGAATCAAAAAGTCTTTGAAATAGACCAAACTGAAAACTGAATGAATATATATATTTCACAGTATTTCACATAGGAAAATTCAGATCTTGAAGTCATAAGTTGGTCTGAAAGTGCTCACGGAAAACTAATCACTTTCATAGCTAGAGTCTGTTAACTTCATGAGCTTGTAAATTCTGCTGTCAAATCACTGAAGACACTGACAATTCACTGCACTGCAAGAAACCAGAGGCTTATTCAATCTGTACCAGGTTGTATATTATTTAGTCTAAAAATAAAATCTAAACTTCTACCCAGACATAGTGTATCTTCCTTAAACAGAGAATAGGAAACCAACAGGCATTTGGCAACTACACTTTTTTTTTTCATTACCTTGTTAAGTTATGCATTTCTTTCTCAGCCCACATACGAATAATCTTTCGTGGATTCAATTTACTGAAGCGGTCTTTAAATCTGTAGTCATCCTTAATGTATTTATCACGGTTCTTGAATTCATTGAGAGTTGTTTTAAACACTTTGATGGCACATTCTGGAGGTATAACTTTATCTTCAGTTGCACTTCTTGTGGAAAAAGTCAAATATATAACAAAGTTAACTATTCGCATCTTTACAAGCAAATGCATGTTTTTATTCTTCTATTTTTTAAATATTGCAAGATATAGCAATTTTTAATATAAGAGAGGAAAAGATCTGATTTTCGATCAAATTTGGAAGCCAATTCAGGTTAAATTTATAAGAGTTCTACAATTAAGCTTATATGTGAATGCTTGGATTTTGGCATTTGGATTATATGTTCTTCATCAAATAGGTTCCATCTCCCAATTTGTTAATATTTTATGTAAATGTCATAGCTAATAACAGTCCTGTTAATACACGTACTTGCTTCAAGAAATTACAAGTGAAAAACGTCTTGCATTAGAACAATAATAGTAGTACCACAATGTTATGTTAAGCACCACAAAGATATTGCCCGTTGAGTAATACTAAGCAAAAGAATACTCCTGAAAATCATTCAAGAAAAGGTCAGTTGTTTTTTTTTTTTAAAAAAGAGATGCTTCTTTTCTCCACACCCCCAACTTACTTCTCAACATCTCTTAATAGATTATCTGTATTTGGGCTTTATTAGTTGTTTCTTAAACCACTTTAAACTCATGGTGTTTCAATGCAACACAATCACTATTAACGTACTACAATCCTTCCAGCATGGTGGTCTTTAAAACTGGACTCTTGCATGACTTGCAAAGTGAACAGCATCCCAACGCTATTCTCAAGGTAACCTAAAAGTAAGAAACAGCACCTCTACTGAACTGCACAGATGGAGCTGATAATACAAGCCATCTGTATGGAAGGACAATCTTGAGGTAGCCTAAGATCATCATGACAGCTCTGTAGTCTGGGGTAGGTCGGTGGAAAGAGTTCCTCAAAACCTGAAGGCTTCTTTTTCATAAACGGAGTAGGTATTTTTCCACAGAAAGCTACAGTGGATTTGTCCTTGTACATTAAATGGTCTCCAAGGAGGAAAGTGGGGATTTTTTTTTACTTTACAATTGGTAGCATGTGGTTTTCAGATTTTATTATTATCTGCACATACATGAATACTAACTTTAAGTCTTGGGAATGAAAAAAAGTACAGATTGTTTAAATATTTTTGTGGTTTCTGCTTTTTAAACCATCTCTGGTACTTAAAGCTATTATCAAATACAAAAAATATACTTACTTTCCTCCATATGCATGAAAAACAACAGATTCTTTTCCTGTGCTGATGCAGCCTGTGATGGTCTCTAGCATCCCAGCATTGACCATCTTGTACAGAAGTAAACGCGTTTTAGGATCCACTGCTTTCTCCTATGGGCAAGAAATAAATATTCAATTCATTAAACCAATTCTTTCCTTTACAGTGTTTAGAGTATTTGTATACCGCAAGTGTTCAACTAGGTGAAAAGAATAATGTATTAAAAGCATTCTCTCAATTGATAGAGAAAACAACCACCCCAAACCAAACAGAAGCAAAGCCAAACTGCTCCAGCACTGTCACCTTAAGATTTAACAGTCTCAGGTACCTTATCAGCTGTGTAGCACATACAGTATTTTACCAATTACGCATAAAGCACAGACTGTGGCTCAAAAGCACTTTCTACCATGTTTTCAGGAAGTCTTTACAAATCATGAATCAAAATATCCCAAATATTATATTCCTTTTATATCAGTAACAATAAGATAAAAGCAAAACACCCAAATTTAAGAAGTCCACAGCAGGTATTACCAGAGGCTCTGCTCTAAACTCTCCCATAAAGCACATCAAACTCTTGACTTCCTAAATTATTAAGTCAGAGTTTACTTGGTCACCTCATCTTCCTGAAACTTGTTATGAAGATGGTATTTAAAGCCCCATGGTTCAACTGCAGAGTATTAGTCCTAGTTTATTTTAGTCCTAGTCCTAGTTTACTCATTGTAGCTGATTAAGAGACAGGTTTAGAAAGACAATAAGACAAAAATGGAAACTGCATGCTCTTATTTTGATATGGCTCTCAGTAATGCAGCTGAAATAAAGACAGCCTTTTTCTAGCAGGAGCTGGCTGATACCATCTCCTTCAGCAATGTTAACATAATATTGCTTAACTGTTCTACTAAAAATGGAACATTTAAAGAAATTACCAAAACAGTGTTTCAGCTGTTACACAAGATAAAAAGTATATAGAGACTTTACTGTTAAAAACATACAGCAGTGGAGTGCTCCTTCTTTTCATGGAGCCTTGCACTTCGACGTTCCTCAGAGTACGCGTGTTGCTTTAAGGCATTGAAGACTTGATTTGACAGCTTTAAGTCCATCCCAATTCCATCCCCAACTTGGAACTCAGGTGCAAACTGCAAGTATAAATTTCTATTATTTCAGCATTGTTACTAGCAGACACCACAAGTTGGCACAAGCAGAAATTTCTCATTCTGATTTGGAAAAACCTAGGGTAGATTAGGACTTATGTGAAACCACCTTTGTGTAATGTTGTCAGTGTGTTAAAAAACATATTGCTCTAAACTCAGAACTCAGAGTTCTGCCCAAATTGATAGGAGATTATCTAATATCCTGTAAAAATTGCACTTGCAGCATTTCCTTATTTGGAGAAGTTGCACCAGTTACATTAAAGAAACGAAAGGTATATACTACACATAAACAGACTGAAAAACTTTTAAGTCAAACAACTGACTGAAAATAAGTTACTTGGCTCATCAGGCAAAATGAATTAAAAAAAATTAGGTTACACGACAAAACAGCATAGTTTTGAAAAGCTATGCTTTTCAAAAATAGCCTTGGTGTTTTATTTGCCTGCATACCAAACTTGCTGAGAGTTTTCTTTTGTCAAAACAGTTCTGTGCAAATTCTTGAATCATGGTCATCAACAAATTATTATCAAACAAAAAACCCACACAACTCAAACTGCCAATTCGAATAACTAATCCAAACACTGCATTGCCTTCATCCAATGAAAAAAATAAAAATCAGCACTGTACACAGTAGCACAGATGGACAAGCATTAGTTCTTTGGTTGAATTACAGCATTGCAGTTTTACACACAAGATAAGTTTCCCTAAGTTTTCACTTACATTTTCCATGCGAGCAGTGTTCTTTCTTCCACATACCACTTCATCATGTTTAGTAGTAATGTCTTTTCCTTTTCCTATGAAGCCCTTTCTTGGTGTAGTAATAGGTTTATCTACCAGCAGTGAGAAAAATAAATCAAACTTTACACCTAAACAAACATAACTAATGTCCATAAAGGTTCCACAATGCCCACAAAAGTAACATAATTTTATTTATTAAACAGAATAAAATACTTCAATTGTATGATCTTAATGCAGTCTTCTCTTATCCTAAACATGACAGCTTCTTTTGCTATATTATGACTTACTTCTATGTCTTCTCTGGGGTGTCAGACACACTTTTGGCATGTTAAAGACAGCAATATTCAATATCATGTGAATGTGCCCCTAGCTAGATGTAGATGACGGATATGCATATCCCACAATACTTTCCACATACAGTAGTTATTTCGCCAGATTCAGCCACTGAAGCCAATACACTGGCAGACAGATGCCTGAATTTACCTGCCCAGCTTCCTGCATAACACCGCCCAATTAGGTAACCTGATTTTACATACAACTGGTATGTTCCCTTACGTTCAAAAAAAACCTACTTCAACTATGTCATATTCTTAGGTCTACTAACTGAAGAAATTGTACTGTTTAAAACTGCCACATACCTGCTCTGTAAGGATCATGACGGGTATCCTGCCAATCAACCTCATCCTCTGAGCTGTCACTGTCATAGGGATGCACCTTCCGATAATTTTCAAAGGATATGGAGACTTGAGAAACAAAACAAATAAGGATGTCTCTGATTATCAAGGATTTGCTACTTCCTCACAGCTCTGTCAACTTAAGCAGAGTACCAAGAATATCTCCAAAGCAAAAATACTTCTTCTGATGAGGGTACCTTTGCTATCTCCATTGATCTTCTTCTCTTCACGCCGAAGCTGTGCATCATATTCCCTGTCAAATTCCATCTGCAGCATCTGAGCTAGCATTAGGTCACTAGAAGTGTCAATATTTTCTCCTGTAATAAACGGTCCTTCAGCAACACTATGTAAAATGAAAACAGAAATTTAAAGAATTAAGCACAGTAATCTAAACAGAAACACTACTTTATACTATTTCATCACTCTGTACAAAAGACTTCATGCAGACCTGCATAGAAGCTAATGGATCTCAACTGTCCGCACCCCCTCTAAGCCAACACTAAATATTAATGGAGCATGACTTCATTTCTCTTAGCCAGTCCTTTGCTATGCAAACATTACTTAAACTTTTACTTGTTTACCATTCTGTAAGAAGCATTAGGCTCTATTTTTAAGATGCCCTTCATGAAAGAGAAAGAATACATGTATACATGTGTAGATATGTTTTTATAAATACATAAGTAAAAACAGATTTAAAAAAAAACAAACAGCGTTGCTTTGCTCTGCTTCACAGAAAAGACGACAGGCAAAATTTGTACGAGTTCAGAACTGGTGGACTCTTGGCCTATGCTTGGAGCTTCCAAGTATTAGGAGGATACAGGTGATACGCCTGATCTTGAAATAACATTGTACACTGTTAACAAGCTTCTCTAAAAGGGAAGAAAAAAAAAATTTCTGACATTTCTAAAACGTAGCTTACAAACTGGCTTAAAGCACCCAAAATCATGAAGAAAATATCAAGAAAGGAGGAAGGGTGAAAGAAAAAAGATCTAAAGAAGAGTTTTAACTGGGGAAGCCATTGTCACTGAAAGAGACCTGAAGAAGCAGAGTTAGGAGATAATAGGCAAAGCACTTACTAACCACTACACATTAAGCACATTGTAAGAAAATGCAGAAGAGCTAGAAGATGGCCTCACAACTATGGAGATCACTAATCCAGGATTTAAACTTACGCAACCACTTCAGGAAAAGCAGCATTTTCTTCTTCCAGCTGCAACTCTTTCGCCAGCTGTTCACTCATTACATCAGCAAGGGAACATGATAGTGATGTTGTGTTAGGGACTCCCCACGGACACTGCAAATAAACATTTTATTCAAGTCAGCAAGAAATGCAGTGGCAACACAATAATCAGGATAATTAGCTATGACTTGGCTCTAAAATAAGCTCATGTAATCTTACCAGAGCTTGTCTTCTACAGATACACAGGGAATTATGATAAACTACAGTACAGAAAATACCTCAAGGAATAGTTTCATAAACTCAATAGGGAGAATTGTGATTGAAAGGATGTTGATGGTCACTTACTAATGGGGGAAACAAGAGTCAGTTTGTCAGTGTGAGTACCCTCTGAAAACAAAGGCAAAGCCTTCCCAGGAAGTTTGTTTACAAGTGTACACAAGTCTATGTAAAACTTCCCATGGAATAACACATTATTGGCTTATATACAGCTTCCTCCCCCATTTCTGGAGGCCTGGAAGGACAGTCATCATAATAAACATCCCCTCAAAAACCTAGAAGCACACACACAGCTTTGCTTGGGGAGGCAGGGGTTGGGGAATGATGAATCGCTGCCTACCACCTTGATAACCAAACTCGCTTAGACCCAACTCCCTGCTCACCAACAGCGCTTGTAGAGAAGCGACTCATTTATCAGGGTCTAACAGCAGCTCTCTCCACCAGGAAGATAATTGCTCCTAGCACCGAACCTCGCCATACACTGTCCAGCGCGGCCATTACTCACTCGGGCAGGGGAGCCGAGCGCTCAGTTCGCCAAGTAACTGTGGCCCTGGCTTTGGGGGCATCACCTCACAGGGCCCTCTCCACGGCCTCAGCCCGCTCGGAGGGAAGCGGGCGGAAGGC